GAAACGAGACAAATTATTTTGCACGAGTTTATAAATAATCCGGCCTTAGATGCGCGTAAAATTGCTAAAAATCTAAAGTTGCACCATTCGACAGTTTGCAAGGTTTTGAATCGGTACAAAGAAGGTCTGGCAGTTACCAGAAAACCTGGAAGTGATTAAAACAGTGCGCGGAAGGTCCTCAGTGCGTTTTCGCGAGATCCGAAGATTTCGACGCGTCCTGTTGCAAAATCTGTTCGTAAATCGCAGTCTTTCGTACAAAAGGTAAAGCGGAAAGCTTCATTGATAAGTTTTAAAGCTCAAACAGCGCCAGATCGAGACGCAAAGCAGAATGTTACAGCTAAATCCCGCAGCCGGAAATTGTATGAATCCCAAGTTACAAAATACAAATGCATTGTTATGGACGACGAAACCTACTGCTTTCAAAATTTCAAATATATTGCTGGTAAAGATTTTTATACTGCTGCAAATCGTCAACATGCCTCTGAAAGCTGTAAGCTGAAAACGAAGTCCAAATTTCCAAAAAAAATACATGGTTTGGCAAGCTATTTGTTCCTGTGGCCGTAAGAGCAGCCCTTATTTCACATCCGGGACAATGAACGCTCAAGTTTATCGGGATGAGTGCCTCAAAAAGCGTATTTTGCCATTTATCAACAGACATGGTACTAGACCACTGTTCTGGCCGGACCTGGCAAGCTGCCACTATGCCAAGGACACATTGCTGTGGTATAATGCAAACAACATCAATTTTGTACCTCGCGCCTGCAATCCACCCAATAGCCCAGAGCTACGTCCTATTGAGGAATATTGGTCAATCGTGAAAGGGATATTGAAGAAGAAAGTGTAAGAAATATCAAAGAATTCAAAACAAAGTGGTTATGGGCGTTGCGTAAAGTCGATGATGCACTCGTGCAGAAGATGATGGCGCGTGTGCGACGAAAAGTCCGATCACTTGCATATGGAGCAAATAATAACTAATATTTTAACATTTTAATTATATATAAACTTCAAAGTATTATACTAAAAAAAAATATATTTCAAAGCCTTCTAGTTTCTTTCTGGTAGTAATTTTTAAGTGTCGCAGTTTTGGTATGTTCACCCTTTATTACTAGCCGAAAGGCTTGAAAAAAAAAAACATTTTTTTAAAGGTATAAATTTTAGCCCAGAATTGGGAAAAATAGAAAATGCCTTTATATTTATAACATATGGGCAAATTAAAAAACAGGTAACCTTGGTGTTTTTTAGCTTTATTTTCACTGTTGGAAACTATATCAAGCTGGTTGCTTTTGGATATAATTCATTGACGTATACTTGAAGCCTCCAAAAAAATTTGGATCAATTTGCCGCATAACTTTTGAATTATAGGTGTTTAAATAAAAAATAATAATGAAAACAAGTGAATTTTTTATGTAATTTTTAAGAGGTGAAAAATTAATTATGCCATAACTTTTGAAGCACACCATATACTGATTTGAAGTTGTATGTGCGATTAGTACTTATGTGTACACTTCAAATGTAGTAGGTAAGAAAAGTGTGCATTAAAAAATAACGAAATGGCAAGTAACTCGAAGTCTGTAATTCCACATTTCACAATTTTCAAAATTTTCGGTTTATCGCGTATAGTTTTTGAAGCATTTAAGTTTAAGAACTTTTTAAGTATGTATTGTATACTACAAACAATTACGAATAATTTCATACCTGAGCAAGAGCTGTGCTTTCAGAATAAACCAACTTTTAAAGATAAAATATTCTGCGATCTTGAGCGTAATTTTTATTCCAAAAACACTTTAATTAAAGCCACATTTGGAAAACACGTCGAAACGATCTAAATCTTTCTATAACTGCTAGTCCTTATAAAATTACATATACCTGTAAAATGCTTCAAAAAATTTATCTCTAGAAGTGTGTAAAAACCCTGATTTACTACTCTTAATGATGCTACTTCTTTTAGTCAGAATATTTCGAGAGTGGTATCAAAGCAACTTTTTTTCGACAAATGTTCTGATAGTTGCTCTTACTTAATTGGAGCCTTCTGAATTCAATGGCGTCCTAAGTTTTACCCTATTGGCTCCACTTTTCGAGATAGCGGTACTTGAAACTTTCCTTAAATTTTAACTATTTTATAAAAAAAGTCCCTGGGTTTTGAAGATATTTTACTAAAATTTTGCACATAACCGTTTTTTAATATTACCTTAACTATTCCATAAAATCATCGAAATCGGTTCACTAAAACATATAGCTTCCATACAACTGATTGATCAGAGACGTTGTTTTGCGTTATAACTCCTTCAATTAAACAGGTTACTAAAATTTATAGGTTCAATTTAACATATAGCACGCATACAATTTATTATTCAGATATGAAGTTAGAGTTATTGCGCAAAAACACATATCTGAGTAATCAGTTGTATTGGAGCTATATGTTAATGTTAACCTATTTCGATAATTTTAAGGAATAATTAAGGTAATATTAAAAAACTGTTATTTGCAAAATTTTAGTAAAATAACTTCAACATTGAGTAAGTTATTTATAAAATAGTTAAAATTTAATCAAATTTTCAAGTACCGTTATCTCGAAAACCGGAGCCAATCTGGTAAAACAGGGCATGCCATTGAATTTAGAACATCCCAATTAAGTGAGTTCAACTTTCAAAATCTTTGCTCAAAGTTTACAACTTGAACAGCGTAATTTCAACCCAGCTTATTCTTTTGTTTTCTATTTCATGCTTATTCCTCGTCTAACTTTTGAAGCACTTGATGAATATGAATTACACTTATATTAATAGATTTATTAAGAGATTACGAATAAAATGATATATAAAACATAGGTGTGCTCACAAATTTAAAAATTAAAATTTTTTGTTTGAAAGTGTACCTATTTTTTAGATTTGCCCATATACACATTTACGCTTTATTGTCCAGTTTAAAAAAATAAATTGCACCAGTCTCAATTTTGCGCTTTTGGCTTACCTTTTTTGGGATATGCCCATATATGTAGAGTTAGCAAGTTAAACTTTGAAAATTAATGTGCTAAATATTTAATGATGACTCTAATTTTACTCCTAACCATTTATTGTGCAAGCCAATTTATCAATTTAACCGGGAAACTTCGAGCTTTTCTGCAAGTGGGCCTAAGAATACATTTTTTATTGCATACAGAACTCGTTGTGTTGTTTGATTTTTTTTTAATGAGCTGAACTCATTTTCGATAAAAATTTCTAGACAACACCACACTGTGTGTGTCCAAATCTGTGAGAGTCTCGCTTCTCGCTGTCATTAAGACCGGTTCCTTAGGGACTGGTCGAAAGCCATTCGATGCAAACAAATATCCAATTCTAACCGGTCAAATTTTAACCGTTGAAGTACTGCTGCAGTTAGACAATAAAACAAGTAATTTTTAAGCAAAAAACAAAACCGACTTCAATTCTCATATACAAATTTAAAAGTACCGTTGATTTCTTCATGACCTAATGATCGGATCTAATCCAAATTAGTATGGGACCACCTTTGAGGTACCATTTTTCCTTTAAAAAAGAATGTTTTTGTTATTTTTTGGACTTATAACAATTATATTCAACAATTTTATAATGAGCTCGAGGCCATTTTTTTAAATGAAAATTTATTGTGGAAAAGCAACAATAATTTGAAAAAATGGTAGAAGTGATAGCTATTTCGGAAATCACCACATTTCCTCATCAGACTTCTTTCAGTAGGATTCGAACCGACGATCCCACTGACTCAGCCAGTTGCCTA